AACTCCTGGGCTCAGGTGATTCTCCTGCCTCAGCCTCCCAAGTAGCTGGGACTACAGGCACCCGCCACAATGCCCGGCTATTTTTTGGTTGTAGCCGTCATTATTTGGTGGGCCCGGGCTGGATTCGAACCCGCCAGCTCAGGTGTATGTAGCTGGTACCTTAGCTGCTTGAGCCACAGGCACCAAGCCCAACCTCAAACTCTTGAGCTCAAGCTATCTTCTTGCCTCAGCCTCCCAAGTAGCTGGGACTACAGGCACTCTCCACAATACTTGGCTAGTTTTTCTATTTTTAGTAGAGACAGGATCTTGCTCTTGCTCAGGCTGGTCTCCAACTCCTGAGGTCAAGCAATCCACTCCCCTCAACCTCTCAGAGTGCTAGGATAACAGACATGAGCCACCACACCCAGCCAAGAATTCCTACTTTAACAGAATTATTCCAGAGTTTATGTGCCAGGGTGGTGACTTCACACACCATAATGGCACTGGTGGAAAGTCTATTTACAGGGAGAAATTTGATAATGAGAACATCATCCTGAAGCATACAGGTCCTGGCATCTTGTCGATGGCAAATGTTGGGCCCAACACAAACAGTTCCCAGTCTTTCATTTGCACTACCAAGACTGAGTGCAAGCATGTGGTCTATGGCAAGGTGAAAGAGGGCATGAGTTATGGAAACCATGAAGCACTATGTTTTATCTTAACATCCCTTCTGTAGCTCAGGAGAACATTGCTCTACTCCCCATTTGCTTGCAATATCCTGAATTACTTGTGCTCTTGCTGCAGTTGTTTTCCATATTTGCCTTATTCCCTTCCATGTCTTGTTGGATTGCAGAGTTAAGTTTATGATTATGAAATAAAAAATAAATAATAATAAATATATATGTAATGATAAGTGCTGTGGACAAAAGAAAAAGTAGAGCACAGTAAGATAGATTTGGAATGGTAGGTGAGGACACCAAGATATTTATTTCTCAAGTTTTTTTACCCCACATTTTAATTTTCAAGTAAAGATTTTCAAACATACAGAAAAACTGAAAGAATTTTACAGTAAACACCCAATTACCTACCACTTAGGATTCTCATTAACATTTTACTATTTTTTTTTTTTTGCAGTTTTTGGTCAAAGCTAGGTTTGAACCCACCACCTTTAGCATATGGGGCTGGTGCCCTACTCCTTTGAGCTGCAGGTACCACTCACTATACTTGCTTCATCATATATCTATCCTTCACATAGCTTCTCCAACTTTTATAAAAATGAAAATTTACAAATGAAAAATGTTCAAAGAATAACACAATGAACAGCCCTGCAAGTATTCCTTATTGAGTCAATCAATAATTGGTAATGTTTATAATATTTGTTCTATTTATCCCTTTTATGAATCCTTTGATTGTAACTTTCCTTCTTATGCTTACTTCTAAATACTTTATCATGTATCTCTTGGGAATAAAGACATTCTCTCAGCTCAGCGCCTGTGCCTCAAGCGGCTAGGGTGCCAGCCACATACACCTAAGGTGGTGGGTTCGAATCCCCAGCCCGGGCCCGCCAAACAACAATGATGGCTGCAACCAAAAAG